CAAAGAGAGTAAGTAAACACACATTTTCTTAAGCATACATAGAACATTCTCTAAAGTAAGCCACAAAACAAGTCTCAATAAATTTAAAAATATTGGAGGAATTTAAACTATATCCTTGGACTACAATAGAATTAAAATAAATAAATAAATAAATTTGGGAAATATCTGTATATTTGGAAACTGAACAGCTCACTTATAAACTCTATAAGTTAAGGGGCCATCACAAGAGAAGTTGCAAAATATTCTGAATTATATTAAATAAAATAATAACACATCAAAACTTACAAGATGCTAGGATAGCTTTGCTTAGAGTAAATTCATTGCTTTGGATGTCCATATTAGAAAAGAAGGAAGGTCTAAGATCAATAATCTAAAGTTCCATACTAAAAGACAAGAAAAAAGAGCAAATTAAATCTAAAGCAAGCGTAAGAAAAAATTAAATATCAGAGCTGAATAAATGAAATATAAAACAGAATAATAATAGACCAAATCAATAAAACAAAAAACTAATTATTGTTGAAGAACAATAAATTTTGAATTAACATATTTTAAGAAATGAATAAATCTAACCAAACCAAACAAACAAGTAAATATCCCAGTCCCCCAGAGGGAGGGCAAATGGTGGGGCAGGGTGAAGCAGAGAAAGCACAAACAGCCAAACCTAAGGCTGAAAAGCAGTATCACAATTGGAGCCACAGAAATTCACATGTGTAGGACAATAGTATGGATGATTTTATACCAAACAGTCGGAAAACTTAGATGGAATGGGAAAATATCCAAGGAAGTAAAGTGCAATCAAAACTAAAAAAGAAGTAAAATACCTAAATAGACCTATAAGAAGTAATCATATTGAATTGGTAACTAAAAAGCAATTCCAATAAAGGAAAAGCTTGGCCCAGATGGTTCCCTAGATGAATTCTACAAAATATTCAAAGAAATAAAATATCAATGCTCCACAAAATTTTTCAGAAACTATAAAAGGTTATTTTATATTTCTTCCTGAGGTATTTGAGAAAGTCAGTATTCCCCAATACAAAAGCAAGATCAAGATGTCACCAGAAAGAATACTAAAGATCAATATGCTTCATAAGGACAGATATAAAGATTAGCAAAATGTTAATTTTGTTTAATATAATTCAAAAATTAGCAAAATGTTAGCAAACTTAATCCAGAAACATATAAAAAGGATCAGACGACTTAACCAAGCAGAATTTTTCCTAAGACATCAAAGTTGGTTTAATATCTGAAAATCAATTAATGTAATATATTGTTTTATATAATAAAGAACAACTAATTTGTAAGTATTTCAATAAAAGCAGGAAAATATTTAATAAAATTTAATAACAACTCAAAAAGTAAAAACTACCAACAATCTTAAAATAGAAGGGAATTCCCTCAGTTTGATAAAGGACATCTATGCAAAACCTAAAGTGAAACATCATCCTTAGTAGAGAAAGATAGAATGATTGAAATGTTTACTCTTACTACTTCTGTTCAATATTGAAAGACCAGCACAGTAATTAAAAGCATATAGATTAGAAAGAATCAAAACTGTCTTTATTCATATATAGCACAATCCTGTATGTAGAAAACCCTAGAGATAGAACAAATGAACTAGAAGACTTAATATTGTTAAGGTGCCAACACTCCCCAAATTGATCCCTAAATTCAGTTCAACTCTTATGAAGACCACAAATTTCTTATTTGTTTTGTTTTCGATAGAACTTGACAAGGTAATCACAATAATCATATGGAAATGCAAAGACCTAGATTAGATAAAGCAATGTTTTTTAAGAGCAGTATTGAAGAATGTACAGTACCCATCTAAAAAGTTATAATCATAATTGTGTGCATTGGTATAAAGACAACTACATAATTTAACAGAGCAGAATCCAAAGTCCAGACAAAACCTCTTACATGTGTGGTCAATTGATTTTTGGTAAATATGCCAAGGCAGATTCATAGGAAAAAAATATTTTCAGCAAACATTTTTGGGACAATTAGTCTAATCTGTGACAACAAATAGTTGCTGGGACAATGCCAAAAATAGAAAATGAACTTGGAAACCTACCTCACATCATACACAAATTTTAAGTCAAAATGTAAATAAAAATAAATGCAACTCTTAAAAATGTTCCATAAGAAAACAGAAGAGATTTCTAGTTTATGACTAGGAAAATATTTCTTAGATATGACACTAAGAAGCATGATAGATAAGAGAAAATATATGATACATTTGGATTTTGTCAATATTTTAAAAATTAGTTCTTCAAAAGACAACAGTATAAGAATGAGTTGTACATAGGAAAGCAATGTTTACATTTGTGTAAAGGACAGAGGAGCTGCATGTAGAATATATAAAGAACTCTTACAAATCAACAATAAGATAATCTAATAAAAATGTTCAAAAATTGGACAGGCCATCACCAAAGGGGATAAATGAATGGCTAATAAGCACATGAAAAGATACTTAATGATGTCATTAGAGAAATGCAAATTAAAACCATAGTGACATAATACTATCCACACACCAGTGGCTGAAAAAAAGAGAGGAAAGAAAAATAAAGAGAAAAAGAAAAATTTAGTGAGGGTGTGGAGAAAATAGAAAATTGCTAGTGGTGAAAACATAATGACAAAGGTACTTGAGAAACAGTTTGTCAATTTCTTTAAAAATTAAATATAACTATTCTACTTTTAGGTATCTATCCAGAAGAAATGAAAATATATCCAGCTAAAAGTTATAAGTGAATGTTCATAGTAACATCATTCTTAATAGCAAAAACTATAATACATATGTACATCTACTACTGAATAAATAAAATGTGCTATATCATCCAGTAAGAAGCTAAACATGTAACAGAGATTACAAAAAGCCACTGGTGCATTGACATCAAAAATAAAAATAACCTCAGTTTGAGAAAGTAAAAATAGAAAAAAATTACAACCATAAGCCATGGCATTCAATCTCTCAGCATGCACAAGGGATTGGTTATAAGACCTACCCCGACTCAACGGGTACCCAAAATCTACGCTTGGCCAAAGCCCTCATATAAAATGATGTAGTGTGTCTCCGCACATCTTTCAAAGTATTTAAATCATCTCTAGATTACTCATAATACCGGAACACTGAAAATACTGTGGAAAGTATTGCTGTAATGCTCTATTTCTTAGGGGAAATGATAAGAAAAGTCTGAATATGTTCAGTACACTCATTTAAAAACTACTTTCTATCCACAGATGCAGAACCAGCAGATACAAAGGGCCAACTGTAGTTCGTGTGGCTTGTTTGGAACATGCTACAATTTTTTAAAATTTAAGTATATATTCATGAGATACTCTCATTCATTTGTAAATGCAGAAGAAATTTAAGGAGACATTTAAGGTGTCTTGAAACTTCCATTCTTACCTAAATTCTAATTGAATTGAAATAGTGTATGGGCTGGAACTATGGAACTGTTTTTGTTCATCACTTGTTTACCATTTGCTCCCCAATGTCTGCTCAGTGCAGTGCATGTTACTAGATAACAGACAGTTGGTGAATGAAGGAATGCCTCATGATTTCCAAGGATGTTTTTTAATGGACTGACTAGCTGTATAAACTTACTTAATATTCAACATTTGTTGGTAAACACAGATCTAAAATTGCCCATTGGTAACACTTCTGAATGGGACTAATAAAGAGCCCATTAACTGAATTTGGCATTTCTCACATTTTTATTTTTGGCACCATAAAACATATCCCTCTTCAATGCCCCTTTTACTATCCTAGGTTCCTCCCTTCCCCCTAGATATTTAGCATGTGTGTACTTTATGTCTAAAGTGGCTAAGTTTGTTATCTTTATATTGTCATGTCCGTGTCACTATCACTATAGATATTTATTAGTTTATATGCTCTGTTATGGTCTCTTCACATTTTTCTTGTAATTGCCTTGTACTATAATTATCTTAAAAGTATTTGAAAACGTAAAATGTAAAGCACTGACCAAGTGTAAGGCACTATTACTGCAAAAATAAAATAAACATTTTGAAGACAATAGTCCAATTCAGATTGGGTTCTTTTTAAAGTAATATGTCAACTTAATAAACTAAACAAAAAATTTGTATGAATGAAACGAGAAGTGATTTTATAAAGATAAGCCATGGTTATAAATATAATTTGCTCTATAATTGAGATATTAAGTTTACTCAATAAGTTAGTGTATTTTGCTCAGCTTTATGTTTTGTTATTTGAGAAGCACAACATAAAGTAAACTGTAGCATTAAAAGCCAGCCTCATTCCAATTTATTTTTATAGCATAGTGCAAAACAACCCAAGCTGAAAGTACATTCAAGCACTGAGACTTAAATCCCTAATGGGAAGAAAGTAGTTCCATAAACAGATGTGATCATGGATTCTGAGTTTATTTGCTTGTGGCAAAAATAAAAGTACCAATTCAATAAGTTTTAATTTATAGGCATCTACACTGGAAAGCCTTTGGGCGCTTTGAACAAAACTGACTAAAAATGAAATTTAGTACAATAAAACTTCATCTACCCCATTCTCCACTCACACCAGGGAATGTAAATTCTTCAACTGGAGAAAGAAGCGATTTCTCCATGTCTTTTGGAATTGTGGCCATGCTGTACTCTAGAAAAGGATTTTACAATTGACTATTCTCCTGACACTTGGGAATGTGAAAGAAGTAGGTAAAGTCATTCCACCCAGAAGATTTCAGGAACCTTTGTTCCGCCTGACCTGTGCTCATGTAAACATGTAGAGCTTTGCTGTCCTTGCCCATGGGGATATTATGTGTCCCCTTCTCTAGCAAAAATCTTCTTTATGTATTTTTTATTATAAAGACTGTGCTGGTTCCTGAACATATCTAAATAGCAGCAAATTCTATTATTCTAACATTGTACATATGATATACAAAAAAATCCTTATTCATGCAAAATATAAATAGCAGAACAAAGAGACAGGTGCCTGAACCGGACCTTGAAAGGATCATTGCAGGACTTACCTCACATTGTTTTCTTTCAGAGTCTCAGTAGTGAATTCCAGTATATCAGCAGCTGTTCCCACAAACATCAGGAGAAGTTCTGAGAGCTGGTCTCGAGTGATGGCGCCTCCAATGGGTAGAAGCCATCTTCCAATTATTAACATTAATAGGAATGTCTGATGGAGTCCCAAAGTCCAAACTGTCTCACATACTGTGGATAAGTTATTTACAAAAACTCTAGCCTGTTTAATGGAAATGTCACACAAATAGGATTATGAGCCACCAGACCATAGGAAGGTCTTTTTTTTTATTTTCTTCACCATGACTTTCAATGAATAATTACTTTTGTGGACATTTTGAGGAGCCTTTGTTTACTTACTAATGAAAGTAATATTCCTTTCAGGTGCACACTGAAAAAAATCTAACGTGGTCCTTAAAATGGGACTTAACTTAGCAAGTAAGTAATTTATATCTCTTTCATGTCTTAGTGAATTCGCACCATATGATACTCAAAGAGCCAATTTTACAATGTTTTAAAGATCCTTATCTATTTTATTATACAAAGTATAACAATGTATAGCACATAACAAAATTTTGTAAGTTCTGTATAAAAATCCCCCCAAGTTCTATATTTTTCTTTTACAGACTTGAATCTGAACTTCCTAACTTGGAATATTTTAGGATGGAATAATTTTCATTTTGCTTATTATTGCCTTAAATCTGTGTTACAGCCTACCAGAAAAATCAATAATGTTTATCTATTTATCTAAAGAAAGGGAATAATTGCAAAATTATTACTTTTATTCTGAATATTTAATTAATTATTCAATAATCCGTAAGACAGCAAGCAAATTTTAGACTGCTCTTATTCTTAGCCTCTAGGAAAAATTCATGTTCCACTAATATATTCTTATTGACATCTCTTTTCCATTTACTATCTAAGTAAACTTAAAGAATATTATTGTACCTATTGGCTACAATTTTTTAAAAACCTATATGGTCTTAGGTCAGAAGAAAATATAATAATGATTCCAACTCATTTAAGCAAGTGACTTAACTGTGTTTGTGCAAAATCTATTTATCTATCTTCATCACTTAATAATATCAGATGTGAAGTAAGAAAAGGATAAGACACAGCAGGTGCTAACCTGACTGAAGCCAAACATGAAGATCAAGAACATTCATTTGCATGCTTCTTACATTTCTTCTATGAAACTCCACACACATCTTATTTAATTTATAAGGAAAGCACATTAGCAAGGTAAACATTAACATTTTTCATTGTCGTGAAAAGCTGAGAGACAGAGGCTATATAATTTATCTAAAATGACATAGATAAGTTGTGATTAGAGCTTGAATTAGGGCCCAAAGTTCATGCTATTCTACCTCACAGAATCAATAGTCTCTCATTTTTGAAAACATGTTTCAGTGGTAGAGGTCTTTACCTTGAGTCTCTTTACACAACTTTAAAGTAGGTCATGATCATTTTGCCAAATATCAGACATGGGAACAAAAAGGTAGTCATTCTCCTTTGATTTTAAAAAGTTCTATTTTATTAATAAATGCCTAACAATATAGAGTGGAAGCCCTAGCTACTTCAATAAGATAAGAAAAGAAATAAAATGTGTACAAGTTGAAAATTAAAAATTAAATTGTGCTTGTTCACAGATAACATAATTGTGTAGAAAATCCTAAAAAATTGACATGAAGTGTCCTGGAACTAATAAGTAATATTGTAGCATAAAGTTGATAAATAAAAGCCAATCTTTTCCTTATATATTAGCAATGAAGGGGAATTTTGAAATTAAAACACAATATCATTTGCATTAGCAGCCTCAAAATGAAATACCTGCTATAAAACATGGTAAAGTTTTATATATATAATACATATTTATATATAAATGAGGAAAGCACACACAAATATATATTATATTACACATATTTTATATACATCATGTATATTATATATAATGAGTGAAACCAGAAAATTCTGTTGAATTAAATCAGAGAAGAACTAGAGATATTCCATGTTCATGAATAGGAATGCTCAATATTGTCACGATGCCAGTTATTCCAAAATTGACATATAGGTTTAATGCAAACTCAATTGAAATCTTAGCAAATTACTTTGTGGATATTGAAAAGACTGATTCTAAAGTCTATCTGGAGAGGCAAAATATCTGGAATAGCCTACACAATATTGAAGAAAAGTGTAGAGGACAGATATTATTTAACTTCAAGGCTTACTACAAGTAAGGCTACAGTAATCAGGACAGTATGGTATGGCGAAAGAATAGACAAAGATTGATGGAGCAGAACAGAGTCCAGAAACAGACCCATAGAAACCCACAAGTGATTTTTAACAGATTAGTAGGGTAACACAATGGAGAAAATATATTGTTTTCAACACATGGTGCTGGAACAGCTGTCACGTTAAAAAAATTGAATCTAGACAGAGTTTGCAGTCTTCACAAAAGTCAACTCAAAGTAGATCATGGAACTTCAAGATAAAATACAACGCTATAAAACTCTTAGAAGCCAAGACAGGCAAAAACCAACATAATTCTGTGCATGACAATGTCTTCTCAGACACCCGAGAAAGAAAGAATTAATGAACTGGACCTCATCAAAACCATATTTTTCTGTTCAGCAAAAGATGATGCCAAGACAACATGAAGACAACGCACAGACTTGGAGAAAATGTTTACAAAAGACATACCTGCTAAAGGACTGCTAACCAAAACATAAAAGCAACCAGTTTAATTCAACAATAAGAAAATAAAAAACATGGCTTTTTAAAAAAATGGCCTATGTTTTTGGGGTGTTGTTCAAAAGCAGAGCATGTGTTTAGATTGCACAAGGCCCTTGGTTTTATCTTTATGTGAGTATATGTGCACCCAAGATCTTAATAGGCACCTTGCCAAAGAAGATATATAGATGGCAATTAAGCATATGAAAAGATGCTGCATAGTATATGTCTCAGGGGAATGCAAATTAAACATCAATGGGATGGTACTGTACACATACTAGATGGCCAAAATCCAGAACATTGACATCCAGTGGTGGGGAGGTGTGCAGAGCACCAGGAACTCTCATTCATTGCAGGCAGGAATGTAAAAGGATACAGCCCATTTGGATGATGGGTAGTTTCTTACAAAGCCAAACATAGTCTTGCCATACCATCCATCCATCATCTTCCATGGTATTTATACAAAGAGCTCAAAACGTATGTCTACTTAAAAAAAACTGAATAAAGATGTTTACTGTGGCTTTATTCATAATTATGAAAACACATAAGCAACCAAGACATCCTTCAGTAACACTAAAAATAAAGGATCAAACCACAAAATGACATGGAGAGAGGAACCTCAAATGCATTTTACTAAGTAAATGAATCCAGTTTGAAAAGGTTATACACTTAGTGATTTCATCTACATGATATTGTGGAAAAGATAGAACTAGAGACCATAAAAAGCTCATTGGCTTACAAGGGCTAGAGGGTAACAGGAGGGATGAATAGGGCTAAATAGGCAAGCACATGAATTTTGGAGCAGTGAAACTTCACTACAAAATACTATAAAGGTAGTACATGTCATTATATATTTGCCAAGCACATAGAATGTACAATACCAAAAGTGAACCTTAATGTAAGCCATGGAGTTTTAATGATAATGACATAACCATGTATTTTTCATCAATTTTCAACCAATATATCCCTATTGGCAAGATGTTGATAGTCAGAGAAGGCTAGGCAAGTAGGAGAGCAAAGGGCATATGGGAAATCTCTCCACCTTCTCAATTTTGCCATGAATCTAAAACTGCTCAGAATATATATATATATAAATCTGATTATTTTGTGAATTCCTGAGCCAAACAATGAAATTGGCAAGTTTTCTTATAGAAAAATAAGATAACAGAAGTACACATATTAGTCATCCTCATCAGGGCCATCATTTGCTAAATGGTGGGAAGAGGTCTCACCGTCTCAATGATATCATCCACTCCATTGGCTTGTGCATTGGTCATCAGGGTTTGATTGAAGTTTTCTTTTTTGCTTATGTTCTGTGACATTCCTTCAGATTGAATGTTGCAATGCTAAGAATTGGGGAACGGAAATATATTAGAAAATCCCAATAAGGTAGAGCTTAAAATGTCTTCAATGTATTCAAGTGATTATGAGCAGATATATGAACTTCAAAAGAATGCATAAACATTTCCAAAGATCTGTATATGGGATAGAAAATCACTTTTTCAATTAATGTGAGACGTGCTAACAATACATGTCTTAGTTTTCCTTAGGCTTGTGAAAATGTAGATATTCTGAGTCATCATGGAGGACTGTAGAATTTATAGACTGAAAACATAGACTCCTCTCTTGAACCCTGGAACAGTTGTTAAGACAAGCCAACAACCTATGACAAAAAAGAACATGTATGTTCCTGGTCAAAGCATTTATTTTGAGTTTATTTCTTACCCAGAGGCCTCTTTATCTAAAATACCATTCTGTTTAAATAAATAATCCAATCACTTTCCATCTTGCCTGTTAAGTACTGTCACAAGCAAAAATTTAAAAAGTAGCATGTTCACTGTTCCATATAGTTTAGTGTCAGTCGAGAAATCAGTTTTGGTTCATGGAAAGTTCTACAATTGACATAAAAGACATGACACTTTTTTCTTTCCTGCAAATTGCCTGTGTATAATTTTATCTAGCCAAATGTGGGAATCTGAGGTAGAATAATAAAATTTAAAAGTATATGAGAGAACAGAGACAAATTTGAAAATGTAGCTGCAGCTAATGCATATTTTATAAACTTTTAAAAGTTGAAGGTTTTTTTTTAAATCTGCAATTCTGGCATATTTCTGAAATGCACACATACACATGCACCACCACCAACAACAAAATCACCTCTATCACCACTATACTTCATTGATCATACATATGTCTTTAGGGACATTATTAAAAAGAAAAAATTCTAAGGTTACAAGAAAATTTTTCTTAATTATTCTGGATACTTCATCATTTGTTCTATGTGTTACTTGAAAAAGTAGAAAAGAAAGTTTGTCAAAGAGCTATTTTTTTCTGCCTTCCACCCAAGTAGCTAGCATTATGGGTGAAATGGCAAGAATAATTAAGAAAATGGCCATGTGCCATATTTCTAGAATAAAAATACAATTGGGTGCACACTGTGTGTGCATGTATGTGTATGTATAACTAAGGCTCCAAGAAAAGATAGTGGAGATTTAAAAAATTTAAATAATTGATTCAAGTCACAAATCCTTGCTTCAGAGTGGTTTTGTGACTCTGCCTAAGAACTCAATGGTCACTAGAAAACAAATTTTGACCACTTTTTTTATAGGCATGAAAGCCTATAAAAGTGGTAGCCTTGATAGGTTTTTGATATCTTTATCACTAAAATTCCATTAACATCTTGTTACTTAAGAAAAAAAAGTCGTTCTGCAGTGCAAAAGAAAGCAATTTGGAAGCAGAAAGCTTTGTGATCCATGCTATGGTATTAAGACTTATGAGTTAAATGACATTTTCCTTTAAATAGCAACTACATTAAGACTGCAAAGAACAAATGATTTGACTCCTTAAGCCTAACCTAACGAGTACCGTTTTTGTGGTTATATTGTTTACATTCATCACTGTATAGGTGATTTTATGAAACTGATTTTGACACCAATATGCTACTTTTTCATGAGCTGTATCTTTAAATCTCTTAATGCCCTCAAAAGGATTCCTTTGGGGCAAACCAAACTGTGATCCCATCGAGATCAGAATATTTCCATTACTTTAATGGTGGCACTTCATAAACAGATCTTACTAATGGGGGTGTGAATGTAGCTCCATGGTAGAGCATTTGCCCAGCATGCACGAGGTCCTGAATTCAATCAAAGCTGATCTCACTAATGGTTACAGTTGCATATGTCATAACCATTTTGTTTCAATGCATGTAGACCCAACCAGATTAAAGAACAAAGGTAGTAAATTGGTTGTCTAGGAGACACGTCTTTATGAAATAGTTAAGGATGATTATCTAATGCCAGTGTTCAGAGTTTAGAATACTTAGGATGTACAGTAAATGGAAAATGTGAATAGAAATTAAATTACTCTTTTCCAGCACAAAATCTATGATGATTTTGATGCAAATTTTTCTAAATCAGAGAAGACATATATATCTATATGTACATATCTATCTATATACGTATATATGAATATGTGTATATATATATATATATATATATATATATATTCTATGGCAGTGTGGCTTCATGGACTGGGTGTCCATTAGGTTCTAAGTCGCAGCACTGCTGTTGATTAGCTATATGACCTTAAGTAAATTATTTAACCTTTCTGAGCCTCAGAGTCCTCGTCTATAAAGTAGATGTGTATGTATCATGCCCTTAAGATACATACACATCTATTTTATAGAAGAGTCACTGGGTCTATAAATAAGAAAAAACATTTAAAATACTCTGAAATAGAGGGTCTTATAAAATGCAAAATGATTGTCACAACCAAAATTTCCTAAACTGAGGAAATTGATGCATTCTCTTTATTCTGTCTCTTCTTATTTCCTTTAATGTAATCCCACTACTCTTTTGTCTCTTTACTTTTGCTACTTCCATCTCTGCTCACCCTGCCCATTTCACTCTCTGGGCATTCATTTTAATTCTCAGTGTCAAATCCATTACTACTAAAGGTTCAATTTCTTTTGTAGTATGAAAATTAGAGGGACACTGCCTGGAGCTCAAAATCTTTTTTTTTTATCAAAAAGAGAGCTTTTGGTTGCATGCTATTTGTTGTAATGGGATTCGACCTGTATATCAATTAACTGTGCAATGCATTTATATTATAAAAGCATTTGGGGAAATGAATTGTTATCGTGGATGATAGCCATGCCATGGAACTGGATGTATAGGGGAAAAAAATGATTCAAATCACCAGAGCTTATTTCCATACCTCTGAAAGAAGATTGTAACAGTCCCCTGACTCCTTACTGTACTTTTTTAAAAATCCATGCAAACTTGAATCAACCAATCTTCAGTTATAAAAATACTTTTGATGCAGTCATAGAGATAGCCTATGACTTTAATGTTTTTAACATGAAATTTGAGTACGAAAACTCTTTTCTGCACTGCTACATGGTTGATACTTGCTTAGGGATTTTTTCAAAAAGAGTCCACAGATCTAGGTTCCCATGTATGTGTCTAAATCTTGGAGCAAGCATTTTCTAGATAAAATTATATATTACAGGCTTAACCTTCCTAAAAATGATTAACAACAACAAGAAGTCTGTTATGAGTCAAGTTCTCAGAGATCTTGATGAAAGTATTCTGTAAATGAAGGTACAAAAATACTAATAATAAATTCAGTTCATCTATAACACAGTCTTGTAACTTGAACCATGAAATCCAAACTGGAGTCTGATAGACTTTACTAACTGGCCTCCCAGAGTTGTGTAAGAGAGTCAACAACAGTCAGTGACTGGACCACATTTTACAGCCTGTTAACTACGCTTGTCCATGTACTAAAAAACTACATTAAACAATCTCTATATAGTGATTAGGAACTCACTGTGGAAGCTGCTGCTTATCTTGCATGTTATTGTGGTCTAATATATATAAGGCCACCTTCCCCAGGATGGGTTGTATAACTGCTCTCCTTTAACCTTAATCTTGGGGCTCCAGAATAGCATTCCTTTTACACTAAGATGTCTGAGGAGATCTGCAAAAGGGATTCTCCAGTCACCAGCATAGCCATTATTTTTAAATAGCCCCTCAGTGTACAGAGGCAAGGTTTTTTGTTTTGCTTTCGTTTCGCTTTTGTAGTTCCTATCATGTCATTTTACAGAAGGGCAGATTACTGAGGTCTGCTGATCCTTAGGAAACACAGGAACATATTAAACAAGGGTAAAATCAAATCTCCACCTCTCTCCCCATGTCATGGGGAAGGGAAGAGACAGAGTCTTAGGTTCAATATCATTTTTTTTAAAGGTATTAATTAATTATGTGATCCTAAGTCTAAAATGAATGTGATATTTTTGTTTATTTTGGCAACTTATAAGGTCACTTCCTCTTGAAGATGGCCTCTTATTTATTCAGTTCTTGATAATTCCAGTCACTTAGAAAAGTACAATTCTTAAATAAATAAGATCACACTGGTAAAGTAGTTTATTGCTGAGTATCCCAATTTCCTACTTTCCAGAAGGAAGTACCTGGTTCTCATGATGCATTTCAAGGAGCCATAATGATGGAACAATGCTAATCAGGTACAAAAATATGGCTGGTGAAAACCTGTGAAAGGGGTAAAAACAGAGAGTTTAGCTTTTACTCCCCCAAAAACAAGTGAGAAAGAAAGAGAAAAAACAAAGAAGGAAAACAAATGCACACATCCTGATCACATGGAGTCAAGCCTTTTTATCTTAAGTGCTTATTTCCAACAGGAAGAAAAACATTACGTGATTTCTACCATATGGATTGTAGAGAAACATAGTAACTGTAAAAGGCACTAGCAGCTGTCATTCTCACTGAATTTCTAATCCAATTAATAGATGTTAATTTTAACATGGTTTAATGGGATAGTGCCAATTAGTTTCAGGCACAACACTGGATATTCTGTGTTTAATATGTTTTATGGAAAGCAAATACAGCAATAGTAAATCTTAGATTTTTATTAGCATTGCAACTTCAGGAAGATTGCCTACATTTTCAACATTAACCTGAACTTCTGAGAGCTCAAATAATAGCATCCTGATAGAAAGCAAAAAATAAATATCATATGATAAGGACAAGGAATGAGAACAATCCATTGGTTTTTGTGTATATTTGCTAAACTTGTAAAATAAGAATAAAAATAAACAAAGGCAAAGTTGGGGGGTTTTAATGATTATCTAAACCCCACTTCTATGAATTAATTTAACCTTAATTACCAAATTAATCTCCAAATCCTGTTACATTTGGGGTTAATTCTTCAGTATATGTATCTGAAGGTGGACACCATTCACCATATAGTAGTCACATTGATCTCATGGGGTTTTTTATTATGCTTTTTGTGAAGCAGTGTCTGGCAGAGGAGGACATTCAATAATAGGCAGATCATGTTAGTATTATCATGAGACATTGTGAAATGAAAATGCATCCTGAACAATTTGAAATAAGATAAAAAATACACTTTCCAAATTTATTTCTTCAAATTTTGTTTTGTTTTAGATGGGATTCACGCTTGATAGGGCATCTCAAAGTCAAAATTATAAGCCAATGCATTTTATTAAGATTTTTAGTACATATTTGTGCTTTTGAGATGAAATATTACCCAAACTATATTATTATAAACCAGAAGAAAAATAAATTTTAAAACTGATGAGAGCGGCGGCGTGCGACGGCGGTGGGCCATGGGGCCGTGGCCCGGCTAGCCAGGCACGGCGATGTCGGGCTACGCGCCCCCGCTGTCCCGGCCGGAGACTCGTCGTTCCCGACGGTGAGGGGCCTCGGGGCCGGGACCCGGGGCTGGGGGGCCGGGGCCGGGGCAGCCCGCGGTGAAGCCGCTATCGTTGTCGCTTACAGCTCCTGCGTTCTATGAGCACTGGTCTTGTCTCCCCCAGGTAGACTGTGAGCGCCCCCATGGCGGGGACCTGTACCCCCACTTCTTCAGCATTCGGCCGACGTTTATGTGCTATGTGCCCAGCCCGGTGCTGGCTTCCGTGGGAGACACAGATTTTGGCTATGGAAAGGGGAAATGTACTAAGCAAGGTCCATCAGGAGCCCACGAGACATGTTTTGGAGATGACAAACTTGAAGATCTTGAAGAAGCAAATCCATTCTCCTTTAAAGAGTTCCTGAAAACCAAGAACCTTGGCCTTTCAAAAGAGGACACAACCAACAGTAGAATTTACCCAAAGGAAGCCTCAAGGCACCCACTGGGACTGGACCACAACTCCCCCACTCCCCAGACTGTGGGGTATGGCCTGGAATATCAGCAGCCATTTTTCGAAGACCCGACAGGGGCTGGTGACCTCCTAGACTAGGAAGAAGACGAGGATGATGGGTGGAATGGAGCCTATCTGCCATCTGTGGTGGAGCAAACTCACTCATCCAGAGCCACAGCCAGCACATCGCCCTGCAGCACATACCTTTCCTTTTTCTCCACCCCTTCGGAACTGGTGGGGCCCGAGTCTCTGCCCCCATGGACACTGAATGACACAGACTCACATGTCTCTCCAGCTTCTCCAGCAGAGAGTCCCAACGCGGACTTTGTGGCCCATGGAGAGTCCTTGGGAGACAGACACCTGCGGACGCTGCAGATAAGTTACGAAGCACTGAAAGATGAAAATTCTAAGCTAAGAAGAAAGCTGAATGAAGTTCAGAGCTTCTCTGAAACTCAAACAGAAATGGTGAGGACACTTGAGTGGAAGTTGGAGGCAAAGATGATCAAGGAGGAGAGTGACTTCCATGACCTGGAGTCTGTGGTCCAGCAAGTAGAGCAGAACCTCGAGCTGATGACTAAACGCGCTGTAAAGGCAGAAAATCATGTCATAAAGCTCAAACAGGAAATAAACTTGCTCCAGGCACAGGTCTCCAACTTCAAGCGAGAGAATGAAGCCCTGTGGTCGGGCCAGGGTGCCAGCCTGACAGTGGTGAAGCAGAACACTGACGTGGCCTTACGGAACCTCCGTGTGGTCATGAACAGTGCACACACATCCATAAAGCAGCTGGTTTCAGGAGCAGAAACATTAAATCTTGTTGCTGAAATCCTTAAATCTATAGACAGAATTTCCGAAATTAAAGACAAGGAGGAGAACCCTTGAGAACCACTGGCTGCTTCCAGCTCCTGGCTGTGTGCGCCGATATCACCACTGCTTCATCTGAACATGCACCCCTAACTACGCCGTCTTTGCCCAAAGGATCATGACATACCAATTTCATGACCTAACACAGTGTTATTGGCTCTCCACAACAGGAGCAGCTCCTGTCTATGAGCTGTACCTGTGGTTTGTATGCAGTCCTTGGTGAAATTTACAGATGCAATATAGATGAAATAATCTATTGGAAGAAATTTTTATAAATTCCAGAAAGTTTTAAAATTACTAAACATGAAAACAGCAAAAAAAAAAAAATGAGAAGGGAAATTTCAGGGTGGATATTTAACAGATTGTTAACCCTTTTGTTAATATCTTCCTTCAACTTCTGAGGAGAGAAAAGAAGAAGGGGTAAGAGAAAAAAAAATCAATATTTAATATTGATTCAAAAAATCAATATTTAATATAGATACTCCCTTACCTTTGATTTCATGCCAAAACCAATTCTGAAATAAAAGGTTATGGGTCAAGATATTATTAAAATCTGACTTGGAAGATGGTTGGGCTGCAGGGTGATATCAAAAGCCAATGCTGTGCATACACTTACAAAATAAATGGTTAACTGTTTGACCTTAAATATCAAAAAGAATTACCAGGAAAGTGTATTTACTGTGGAAATTGAGAAGGAAGTGAATTCTGGTCAAAGGGACAGTTGTAATGGGTAACTTTTTGTGGGACATGCCAAATGTTAGCTGGACCAAAACTCTGTTGATTCTCTCAGGACTAATTTTGAGATTAACTCCCCTAACAACACCATTCCATAGTAATCTGGAGAAACAATAGACTGAACATATAATAGCTCTTGGAAGAGGTTAAAAATAAAATAATAACCTTTAATATCTTCTATGTGTAAAATTTATTTCTTTAATTAGAAAACAATACCATCCCATTTCAATGTATTTCCTCTAGGAAACTGGTTGTGTATACACATATACACCATACACATCACACACACCCCTCAAGATTCAAAATTTTCTGTGTTATCTAGTATAGGACATGTAAACTCCATGTGATCTGTTATTCACATCATCTCTTTTATTGCCATTTCCCCTTTTCTCTCCCTTTTGCATCCTATCAAGTTATACAACAAAGTAGTTCCTACTGTGTATTTAAAGCAAAACAACAAAAATGTGGGCTAGGATTGTAACTCAATGGTAGAGTGCTTCACATGAGATCTAGTTCAAGCCCCAGCACCACACACACAGACACACACAAAATACAAAACAATTTTAGAAAGTTCCTCTCACTTCAATCCTTCCTCGTTAGTTTTATTCAGCTTGAAAAAGAAAGGAGGTAGGAAAAAGGAATCATATTGAGGGCCTGGGAGTTAATTAATTCAACTCAATCCACAGCCTTCTTTAACTAGCCATGGGTCCCTGCTCAAAACAATGTGCCTTACACTATTCCAGATTAGCTAATCTGAGGAGAGGGGATCTGAAATGGCTGCAGACCAAATTCTTCTCAAATTATGAAAAGTTTCTTGGCAATTCTCTTCTCATACATGTGTGTCCATCAGTATCCTACATGTATATTCAGGCATGGCAGGAATTGATGCTGTACTATTTTCTAATCATGGGTACATAAGACTTAGTTTTCCTAATGCAAGTTCCTTGAAGACAGATTCTGGGTCTTATGTATCTTTAGATTCCTTCTCTCTTCCTACTTCTCTTCTCTTCCCTGGTATAATTGTCTTACTAAGTTTTTGATTAATGTTTATTAAGCAAACACTTAAATATTTAAATGCTTAGAGTTTATGAATAAAGGATAGATTAAGAAAATGAAAGGAATGGAGGTAACTAATGTTACTAATCAGCTGGTTCAGGTCCTTTTACTCTCCCCAGATGGAAATTATGGGTAGGCTCTTCCAGTGTTAGCAGTGCTGGACTCTTGAGTGTCCAAGGTCTAGGGGATGAACCAGCACACCCAGAGGCTTATAGCTCCAAACCCTGAGATCAAAAGATAGATTATGGAGGGATCCAAGATGGCGACTAGAGTACAGAAGCAGACAGTGTGAGCTCCATAAATCAAAAATTTTATTGAGAAGCTGGAGCCACACTTGGCAGAAAAAAAGCAACAAGAAGAATCAAAAACTTGACACCTTGAACTCCCAGCCCATACAAAGCTTCTCCATGCCATGTTACACTGAGAAAAGAGGAGGGCTCCCATACCACCAGATGCCAGCTCCAAACCCACTTGGGAGACACAGACCAACAAGTGAGCAAATAAGTGGCACATGGTATTCCCACAGCCACCCCAAGGATAAACCAGCACAGCCCCCTTGGACAGACTGACCCCCTGCCCCACAAAAAACAAAACCTGAATAATAAAGAAGCAACTGAAAAAGGAACAGGCAGCAGAGGGGGCAGGGTGCTCCAAGAGCACTGGAGGTAGGGGAAAGAGCACGGAGCTGATCTCCATGCGAACTTTCAGTA